ATAAAATCTTAGTCAGAATCTGCTTTTTCGCCTCTTATTGTACCCTAATCTACCTTAGAAATGCAGATATATACTTAGAACACCTTCTTTTGGGACAAATAATTGGTTTTCGCCCTTGATTTACGGAAGATTATAGCCAAAACATGCATCTTCATAACTTAGCGAACTGAAATCTACATTAAAACTGTAGATAACTACTTAAAAATTCACATCCTTGAATTGATAATAGGTTGTTCCTTGTCATTTTAAACAGATTCCAGTCAAAATCGGCTTCTTCGACTCATATCGTACCTAAAACCGCATCAAAACTGCAAATATCAGTTTAAACTATCATTTTTTGATACAAACAGTTATATATTCATGTCAATATCTTTCAAATTCTAGTCAAAATCGGCGTCTTTGGGCATTTTAGTAACGAAAACCTTAATAAACTATTCGATTTCGACGTAAGGCAACCATTCTGAGTGAAATAGTTGCCGATTTCGATAAAATCTTAGTCAGAATCTGCTTTTTCGCTTCTTATTGTACCCAAATCTACCTTTGAAATGCAGATATATACTTAAAACACCTTCTTTTGGGACAAATAATTGGTTTTCTCCCTTGATTTACGGAAGATTATAGCCAAAACATGCATTTTCATAACTTAGCGAACTGAAATCTACATTAAAACTGCAGATAACTACTTAAAAATTCACTTCACTGAATTGATAATAGGTTTTTCTTTGTCATTTTAAACAGATTCCAGTCAAAATCGGCTTCTTCGATTCATATCGTATCTAAAACCGCATCAAAACTGCAAATATCAGTTTAAACTATCATTTTTTGATACAAACAGTTATATATTCATGTCAATATCTTTCAAATTCTAGTCAAAATCGGCGTCCTTGGGCATTTTAGTAACGAAAACCTTAATAAACTATTAGATTTCGACGTAAGGCAACCTTTCTGAGTCAAATAGTTGCCGATTTCGATAAAATCTTAGTCAGAATCTGCTTTTTCGCCTCTTATTGTACCCAAATCTACCTTAGAAATGCAGATATATACTTAAAACAGCTTCTTTTGGGACAAATAATTGGTTTTCGCCCTTGATTTACGGAAGATTATAGCCAAAACATGCATTTTCATAACTTAGCGTACTGAAATCTACATTAAAACTGCAGATAACTACTTAAAAATTCACTTCCTTGAATTGATAATAGGTTTTTCTTTGTCATTTTAAACAGATTCCAGTCAAAATCGGCTTCTTCGATTCATATCGTATCTAAAACCGCATCAAAACTGCAAATATCAGTTTAAACTATCAGTTTTTGATACAAACAGTTATATATTCATGTCAATATCTTTCAAATTCTAGTCAAAATCGGCGTCTTTGGGCATTTTAGTAACGAAAACCTTAATAAACTATTAGATTTCGACGTAAGGCAACCATTCTGAGTCAAATAGTTGCCGATTTCGATAAAATCTTAGTCAGAATCTGCTTTTTCGCCTCTTATTGTACCCAAATCTACCTTAGAAATGCAGATATATACTTAAAACACCTTCTTTTGGGACAAATAATTGGTTTTCGTCCTTGATTTACGGAAGATTATAGCCAAAACATGCATTTTCATAACTTAGCGAACTGAAATCTACATTAAAACTGCAGATAACTACTTAAAAATTCACTTCTTTGAATTGATAATAGGTTTTTCTTTGTCATTTTAAACAGATTCCAGTCAAAATCGGCTTCTTCGATTCATATCGTATCTAAAACCGCATCAAAACTGCAAATATCAGTTTAAACTATCATTTTTTGATACAAACAGTTATATATTCATGTCAATATCTTTCAAACTCTAGTCAAAATCGGCGTCTTTGGGCATTTTAGTAACAAAAACCTTAATAAACTATTAGATTTCGACGTAAGGCAACCATTCTGAGTCAAATAGTTGCCGATTTCGATAAAATCTTAGTCAGAATCTGCTTTTTCGCCTCTTATTGTACTCAAATCTACCTTAGAAATGCAGATATATACTTAAAACACCTTCTTTTGGGACAAATAATTGGTTTTCGCCCTTGATTTACGGAAGATTATAGCCAAAACATGCATTTTCATAACTTAGCGAACTGAAATCTACATTAAAACTGCAGATAACTACTTAAAAATTTACTTTCTTGAATTGATAATAGGTTTTTCTTTGTCATTTTAAACAGATTCCAGTCAAAATCGGCTTCTTCGATTCATATCGTATCTAAAACCGCATCAAAACTGGAAATATCAGTTTAAACTATCATTTTTTGATACAAACAGTTATATATTCATGTCAATATCTCTCAAATTCTAGTCAAAATCGGCGTCTTTGGGCATTTTAGTAACGAAAACCTTAATAAACTATTAGATTTCGACGTAAGGCAACCTTTCTGAGTCAAATAGTTGCCGATTTCGATAAAATCTTCGTCAGAATCTGCTTTTTCGCCTCTTATTGTACCCTAATCTACCTTAGAAATGCAGATATATACTTAAAACACCTACTTTTGGGACAAATAATTGGTTTTCGCCCTTGATTTACGGAAGATTATAGCCAAAACATGCATTTTCATAACTTAGCGAACTGAAATCTACATTAAAACTGCAGATAACTACTTAAAAATTCACTTCCTTGAATTGATAATAGGTTTTTCTTTGTCATTTTAAACAGATTCCAGTCAAAATCGGCTTCTTCGACTCATATCGTATCTAAAACCGCATCAAAACTGCAAATATCAGTTTAAACTATCATTTTTTGATACAAACAGTTATATATTCATGTCCATATCTTTCAAATTCTAGTCAAAATCGGCGTCTTTGGGCATTTTAGTAACGAAAACCTTAATAAACTATTAGATTTCGGCGTAAGGCAACCATTCTGAGTCAAATAGTTGCCGATTTCGATAAAATCTTAGTCAGAATCTGCTTTTTCGCCTCTTATTGTACCCAAATCTACCTTAGAAATGCAGATATATACTTAGAACACCTTCTTTTGGGACAAATAATTGGTTTTCGCCCTTGATTTACGGAAGATTATAGCCAAAACATGCATCTTCATAAGTTAGCGAACTGAAATCTACATTAAAACTGTAGACAACTACTTAAAAATTCACATCCTTGAATTGATAATAGGTTGTTCCTTGTCATTTTAAACAGATTCCAGTCAAAATCGGCTTCTTCGACTCATATCGTACCTAAAACCGCATCAAAACTGCAAATATCAGTTTAAACTATCATTTTTTGATACAAACAGTTATATATTCATGTCAATATCTTTCAAATTCTAGTCAAAATCGGCGTCTTTGGGCATTTTAGTAACGAAAACCTTAATAAACTATTAGATTTCGACGTAAGGCAACCATTCTGAGTCAAATAGTTGCCGATTTCGATAAAATCTTAGTCAGAATCTGCTTTTTCGCCTCTTATTGTACCCAAATCTACCTCAGAAATGCAGATATATACTTAAAACACCTTCTTTTGGGACAAATAATTGGTTTTCGCCCTTGATTTACGGAAGATTATAGCCAAAACATGCATTTTCATAACTTAGCGAACTGAAATCTACATTAAAACTGCAGATAACTACTTAAAAATTCACTTCACTGAATTGATAATAGGTTTTTCTTTGTCATTTTAAACAGATTCCAGTCAAAATCGGCTTCTTCGATTCATATCGTATCTAAAACCGCATCAAAACTGCAAATATCAGTTTAAACTATCATTTTCTGATACAAACAGTTATATATTCATGTCAATATCTTTCAAATTCTAGTCAAAATCGGCGTCCTTGGGCATTTTAGTAACGAAAACCTTAATAAACTATTAGATTTCGACGTAAGGCAACCTTTCTGAGTCAAATAGTTGCCGATTTCGATAAAATCTTAGTCAGAATCTGCTTTTTCGCCTCTTATTGTACCCAAATCTACCTTAGAAATGCAGATATATACTTAAAACACCTTCTTTTGGGACAAATAATTGGTTTTCGCCCTTGATTTACGGAAGATTATAGCCAAAACATGCATTTTCATAACTTAGCGTACTGAAATCTACATTAAAACTGCAGATAACTACTTAAAAATTCACTTCCTTGAATTGATAATAGGTTTTTCTTTGTCATTTTAAACAGATTCCAGTCAAAATCGGCTTCTTCGACTCATATCGTACCTAAAACCGCATCAAAACTGCAAATATCAGTTTAAACTATCATTTTTTGATACAAACAGTTATATATTCATGTCAATATCTTTCAAATTCTAGTCAAAATGTGCGTCTTTGGGCATTTTAGTAACGAAAACCTTAATAAACTATTAGATTTCGACGTAAGGCAACCATTCTGAGTCAAATAGTTGCCGATTTCGATAAAATCTTAGTCAGAATCTGCTTTTTCGCCTCTTATTGTACCCAAATCTACCTTAGAAATGTAGATATATACTTAAAACACCTTCTTTTGGGACAAATAATTGGTTTTCGCCCTTGATTTACGGAAGATTATAGCCAAAACATGCATTTTCATAACTTAGCGAACTGAAATCTACATTAAAACTGCAGATAGATTTGGGTACAATAAGAGGCGAAAAAGCAGATTCTGACTAAGATTTTATCGAAATCGGCAACTATTTGACTCAGAATGGTTGCCTTACGTCGAAATCTAATAGTTTATTAAGGTTTTCGTTACTAAAATGCCCAAAGACGCCGATTTTGACTAGAATTTGAAAGATATTGACATGAATATATAACTGTTTGTATCAAAAAATGATAGTTTAAACTGATATTTGCAGTTTTGATGCGGTTTTAGGTACGATATGAGTCGAAGAAGCCGATTTTGACTGGAATCTGTTTAAAATGACAAAGAAAAACCTATTATCAATTCAAGGAAATGAATTTTTAAGTAGTTAAAAATCGACGACAATGACGAGGAGGAGGAACAAGAGGGGGAGATAGGTGTCGAAAATTCGAGGGTCAGAAGACCGCCTTGCTGGACCGTTGTCGATCGATGCCGGTGGAAATATCCGAAACAGCAAATATCGAGCACCGTTTTTAAGATCGAGAAGCAAATTCTTTACAGACGTCCTCCGGGTGTTTGCTTTTTTAACAGGCAACAAAATCGTTTCGTCGGCAACGAATTTGGAACTTTGCGTCGGAAACCCGATCCAGGTGTGTCGATACATTAACGCCTACGTCAATAAGGGGTTAGACGTAGCGAACATCCAATGCGTTGAGATGCAAGTGAATACGACCACCGGTACGATCGATTGGAACGAGGCTACGGCATTCCTTAAAATGAGATATATCGGACCGCACGAGGCGGTCTATCGCATCTTGGGAAATGGCATGTTCCATATCAGTCACACGATCGAAAAGTTGCCCGTGCATTTGGAAGGAGAGGCTTGTGAAATTTACAGGGAAGGGGACGAGGTGGCCGTAGTCGAAAGGGGCGAGCGTTCTAAGCTCGTCGCTTGGTTCGAATTGAACGCGGCGGAGGAGGTGACGGGTCGGCGACGGTTCTACGTCGACATCGTCGAAACGCACTCTTGGCGGCAAGGTCGTTGGGTCGCCAAGTCGCGACCCACCAGTTCTATAGGTCGTATGAGTCCGGTTTATCCGAGTCCGGGGAATATGGAGCGCTACTATCTACGAATGATTTTGGGCAACGTGACAGGTTTGATTTCGTTCGTGGACGCGAAAACCGTAAACGGCGTTTTATGTCCTTCGTATCAGGCCGCTTGCGTAGCGTTAAAATTGATCCCGGACGACGACGAAGAGGCGGACAAGATTTTAGATTGGATAGCGGATCGTCTTCGTCATCCGTTTTATTTAAGGGAAGCGTTCGCTCTAATTCTCTTGTACAATCCGTCGAAGAATCCCCGAACTTTATTTAAGAGATGGTGCAGGCGTATGTCCGCGGACGTGCTTAGGATTCATATCGATTTAATCAGAGATATCGACGAAGAGGGCGCGGGCGACTTAAACGAAAGGATGCACGTGCTCCGTACGTGTCGGTATACGGTCCTTTGGAGTTTCGTAGATCGATTTCTGGTCGAATGCTCCACTTCGATGGAAAAAATTAATCTTCCTCGGGATTGGATTTCCGATTGGGTTTACGACGAGGAGGCGGAAAAACTTTTGGACGAGGAAGAGGTTACGTTCGAGGAATTCACTTTCGTTCCGAGACCGAATCAAAATTTGCATCTGATCGATCTCAACGATCAACAGCTGGGATTCGTTTACGAGGTTTTACAGTCTGTATGCAATCGTAACGGTATCGTTTTCGTTTTGACCGGCGAAGAGGGCACCAGCAAAACCGCGACCGTCAACGTTATTTTGGAAGTGGCGGAACTTCGCGCGTTACCGTACGTATCCGCGGCTTTTACGGGGATCGCGGCCACGTTAATCCGGAACGCCGGTTTCTAATTTGGTGGGCGAGTCGGAGGCGGCCGACGATATTCGAAACGCGAGACTCGTCGTGTTAGACGAGGTGTTTATGTTGGCGTCGTGGATGTTGGAAATGATCGATGCCGTGTGTCGGGAATACGGTCAATCGCGACGGCCGTTCGGTGGGAAAACCGTTATTCTTAGCGGCGGTCCCAAGCAGTTGCTTCCCGTTGTCAAGGGTAGGCGAGCGGGAATGGCGTCCATCGTTTCGCATCCGGCATGGAGTACTTTTCAACTGTGCACGTTAACGGAAAACATGCGTGTTCATCCGCAAGAGGTGGAATGGTCGAATTTCATCAGGAGAGTAGGCGACGGGGAAAGAATTGTTTCGGACAACGGACGCGAACCGATTTCCGATAACTGTCTGTTCGTTCCTTCCAAATTAATTGTCAAATCGACAACTCGTCGACTTTGTTTACGGGGACGTCTTCGAATCGATGCTCGCTCTTCCCGGGACGAACGAGCGATTCTTGGAATTAGCCGAGCGATTGGCCCTCCGGTCGATCCTTTGTCCCGTGAACAGCGAGGTCGAGGAGTTGAACGAAATCATCTCAAAGATCTTCCCCGATCCGTCAGGATCGGAGAGGGTCTTTTTGGCGACCAATTCCTACGATAGACAGAGTAACGAGGATGGGGCCGACGATCACGAAATCGCCAATCCCCTCGCGACGGGAGTCACCAGTGAAATTATCGAAAGTTTAGATTTGTCGGGACTACCGCCACATCGGTTGACTTTGAAGATCGGTTCGGTGGTAGTCCTTTTGGTAAATCTTAACGTGCGGAGGGGTTTTTGTAACGGACAGAGAATGATCGTTTTGGAGATGGGCGATGACGTGATAGTCGGCCGCATCGTTTCCGGTCAATTTCAGGGCCGTAAATGTGTCATTATCTGAAAACAATTCGTTTTAGAGGAAAAAGAAACGCCATTGCTACCGGGCGGCGGCACATTTTATAGAAAACAATTTCCGATTAAGTTGGCGCACGCAATTACTATCAACAAAGCGCAAGGACAGACTCTTTCGCGAGTCGGTTTGTGTCTCAACGTCCCGTGTTTTGCTCACGGTCAATTGTACGTCGCTTTGTCCAGAGTGCGTACTTGGCAAGATATTCGCATTTTTGTAAAGGAAAGTCGTAGACATGGTCGTTTCTTTAAAGACGGTCGCAAAAATAATCCAGTTTTCACGCAGAATATCGTTTATAGGGCGTTTTTAGATAAAATCTTCAATTGAATTCGAAAATTTGCCACTTTTTACATTTTCGTTTCCATTTTACGACCCCATTTTCGTTCCGATTTTACGACACAACGATGACAGTTCACCGATAATAACTTGTAACCGAGGGCGACTTTTTACCGACGACGTCCTTTACCCAATATAGCCTTTTCACCCGATCGTGACTTTTTACCCAATTATGACGTTTACTCGATCACGACTTTTACCAAATAAAAATATTACATTTTCCAAATTTTTATTAAGTACACGAGTTCCAATATTTCCTGCCGCCGGTACGAACGATGACTTTTTCCCGATTAAAACTCTAACCCGACAAAGACGTTCACCCGATTGAGACTTTTACCCGATTATGACTTTAATCCCATCACGAGGGTCGAAATTATTCGTTACGTTCGATACCGCGGACAATCGAACGATAGAGAAAAATACGACGATAACCCGATTCGCGACACACTATCTCATAACGTAACTAATCCTTTTTTTTAAATGTTTCAGATCTACGAGACGTTCACAACCGGCCAAAGATTTTTTATTATCAATACTAATTTGTTATATTTCAGGCGACCTTCAAGGTTCTTTTTAGAACCGCCAAATCGTTTTTTAAAGAATTCGTTTTCGATAATAAATAAAAATGAAATAAATTTATTTTCCCTTTCCACTTCCTTTTTCCTTTAACGTCGAACGAAACGTTTCGAGACGAACGTTTCAAAAATACGTAATCACATATCTTAACATTTTTATTTCATTTTCAAAACGTTCTGAATCATGGTGATGTTCAATTCAAAGTTTTGATCAGTTTTTTTATTAGATTTAATTAGATATCAAACCTCCACCGAAGAGGTTCACGGTCTAGGCAATACGTCACTTTGGTCCATTTTGGTTAGTTTCGGTTATCGCTTTGGTGATGCCAACCACCACCGAGGCGGTTTACCGTTTAGACGGTCTATATACTTCACTTTGGTCCATTTTGGTTAGCTTCGGTTATGGAAGCGGTCTATATATAGAGACGACCTATATATGGGGCGGTCTGTATATAAAGGCGATCTGTACATGGAGGCGGTCTATAAATGGACTCGGTCTATATATGCAGGCGGTCTATATATGGAGCCGGTCCGCATATGGAAGCGGTTTACATATAGAGGCGGTCTGTATATGGAGGCGGTTCATATACGAAGGCGGTCTGCATTTAGAGACCGTCCGTATATAATGGCGGTCTGTATATGGAGGCGGTCCGTATACAAAGGCGGTCTGTATTTGGAAGCGGTCCGTATATAAAGCCGGTCCGCATATGGAAGCGGTTTACATATAGATTCGGTCTGTATATGGAGGCGGTCCGTATACAAAGGCGGTCTGTATTTAGAGACGTTCCGTATATAATGGCGGTCTGTATATGGAGGTGGTCCGTATATGGAGGCGATCAATATATGGAAGCGGTCTGTATATCGAGGCGGTCCGTATACGAAGACGGTCTGTATTTGGAGGCGGTCCGTATATAAAGGCTATCCGTATATGAAGGCGATCCCTATATGGAAGCGGTCCGTATAGAGAGGCGGTCTGTATATGGAGGCGGTTCGTATACAAAGGCGGTCTGTATTTAGAGACCTTCCGTATATAATGGCGGTCTGTATATGAAGGTCATCCGTATATGGAGGCGATCAATATATGGAAGCGGTCTGTATATCAAGGCGGTCCGTATATAAAGGCGTTCCGTATATGGAGGCGATCCCTATATGGAAGCGGTCCGTATATGGAGGCGGTCCGTATACGAAGGCGGTCTGTATTTAGAGACGGTCCGTATATAATGGTGGTCCGCATATGGAGGTGATCCGTATATGGAGGCGATCAGTATATGGAGGCGGTCCGTATATCGAGGCGGTCCGTATACGAAGGCGGTCTGTATTTGGAGGCGGTCCGTATATAAAGGCGTTCCGTATATGGAGGCGATCCCTATATGGAAGCGGTCCGTATATGGAGGCGGTCCGTATACGAAGGCGGTCTGTATTTAGAGACGGTCCGTATATAATGGCGGTCCGCATATGGAGGTGATCCGTATATGGAGGCGATCAGTATATGGAGGCGGTCCGTATACGAAGGCGGTCTGTATTTGGAGGCGGTCCGTATATAAAGGCGTTCCGTATATGGAGCCGGTCCGCATACGGAGGCGGTCCGTATACAGAGGCGATCCATATACGAAGGCGATCCGCATACGGAGGCGGTCCGCATACAAAGGCGATCCGTATACGAAAATTCGAGGTGAAACCGCGAAAGGCTCATTAAATCAGTTATGGTTCCTTAGATCGTACCCACAATTACTTGGATAACTGTGGTAATTCTAGAGCTAATACATGCAAACAGAGGTCCGACCGGAGACGGAAGGAGTGCTTTTATTAGATCAAAACCAATCGGTGGCGGGTTCGCGCCCGACATCGTTCAACTTGGTGACTCTGAATAACTTTACGCTGATCGCACGGTCTCGCACCGGCGACGCATCTATCAAATGTCTGCCTTATCAACTGTCGATGGTAGGTTCTGCGCCTACCATGGTCGTAACGGGTAACGGGGAATCAGGGTTCGATTCGGGAGAGGGAGCCTGAGAAACGGCTACCATATCCAAGGAGGGCAGCAGGCGCGCAAATTACCCACTCCCAGCACGGGGAGGTAGTGACGAAAAATAACGATACGGGACTCATCCGAGGCCCCGTAATCGGAATGAGTACACTCTAAACCCTTTAACGAGGATCAATTGGAGGGCAAGTCTTGTGCCAGCAGCCGCGGTAATTCCAGCTCCAATAGCGTATATTAAAGTTGTTGCGGTTAAAAAGCTCGTAGTCGAATTTGTGTCTCGCGCCGCCGGTTCATCGTCCGCGGTGTTAACTGGCGTGCCGCGAGACGTCCTGCCGGTGGACTTAGCCCGTTCACGCGGGCGGTCCAACTCAATCCTGCCGCGGTGCTCTTCATTGAGTGTCGAGGTGGGCCGGCACGTTTACTTTGAACAAGTGCTTAAAGCAGGCTAAAACTTCGCCTGAATACTGTGTGCATGGAATAATGGAATAGGACCTCGGTTCTATTTTGTTGGTTTTCGGAACCCCGAGGTAATGATTAATAGGAACGGATGGGTGCATTCGTATTGCGACGTTAGAGGTGAAATTCTTGGATCGTCGCAAGACGGACAGAAGCGAAAGCATTTGCCAAAAACGTTTTCATTGATCAAGAACGAAAGTTAGAGGTTCGAAGGCGATCAGCGCCCTAGTCCCCGTATAAAAGCGGCGCGCGAGGGGCGGAGTTACCGCCTCCGAAAGAACTTTTTTCCGGAAAATGGCGGAAACGATGTCGGATCCGGGTAAAACGGGGTCGGAAACCGTCCCCTTTGGGGCGAAAATTCGCTCCGTTTCTCGCTACGACGAACCGTTTCCGAGATACGGCGGTCATTGACTAGGCGGACCGGCCGACTCGGCGTGGGGAATCGACTGACAAAGTCTCAACCCCCCCCTCCAAACTTTACCCACTCGGATTTTGTAATTTTTGAAAAAAAAAAAATCGGAGAAAATGTCTTCTAAGGGTAAAGGGGGGTATGAAGCGACCCCTTAGGGGTAAGAATTTCGTGCGTTTTTCGATCCGACGAGCCGTTTTCGCGATTTCGACATTTTCGAAAAATTTTCGAAAAAAGGCCGTATCTCGGAAACGGTGCGTCGGAGGCGAAAAATAAGCGAATTTTCGTACCGGCCTCAGTGTTATTAACTAGGCGGACCGGCGAACTCGGCGTGGGGAATCGACTGGCAAAGTATCAAATCCAAATTTTACCTCCTCGAATTTTGTAATTTTTGAAAAAAAAAATCGGAGAAAATGTCTTCTAAGGGTAAAGGGGGTGAGAAGCGACCCCTTTTGGGTGAAAATTTTGTCCTTTTTTTGATTGGACGAACCGTTTTCGAGTTATGGCCATTTTAAAATCGAAAAAAAAAATACGAAAAAGGGCCGTATCTCGGTAAGGGTGCGTCGGAGGCGAAAAATAAGCGAATTTTCGTACCGAGCTCGTTATAATGCGCGTAGAGTGGTGCGGATTCGTAACCACTATAGCCTGGTAGGTTTCCGACGTTCCTCCTATCCATTCAAGTTTTAAATTTTAAATCGAGGTAGGCTCGCAATACTCTATACGATGCCAGCGGGGGTATCAAAATCAAGGAAATGGGGAAACCGATACCGGATTCCCGTAAAATGGGGTGGTAAAGCGTCCCCTATGGGGCAAAAAATTGCTCGGTTTTTCCAAAAAACGAACCGTTTTCGAGTTATGGCCATTTTAAAATTGAAAAAAAAAAAATTCGAAAAAGGGCCGTATTTCGGTAAGGGTGCGTCGGAGGCGAAAAATAAGCGAATTTTCGTACCGAGTTTCTTAAAAAGCGCGTAGAGTGGTGCGGTTTCGTAAACACTATATCCTGCTAGGTTTCCGACGTTCCTTCTATCCATTTAAGTTTTAAATTTTAAATCGAGGTAGGCTCCTAAGACTATACGATGCCGGCTTGAATAAACGAAAATTTAATAATATTGTAGATATATCACTCTGGAGTTTTGGACCGGTGAATATATCATTGAGGGAAGGCTGGTTGGGAAGGTGTGCGGAACCGTTAAAAACCACCCTTAGTTTACTGGTTAAACTTTCCGGCCTTAAGACACAATGGTGGGATAGATAATAACAGTGAGGGGACTGAACGAATCGTCTGGAATAGATTCCATGTGGTTAAGCGCAATAAATTCGTTCATGAAGTCGCGATATTGCGAGTAAATCTCAGGCTGCTTCTTAAGTCTCCGCTCAAGGGAATAAAACCTCTGTAAAGCCAGAGATCGGATATTTGGGAAGATAGGGGCTGCTTCCTTAAAAGGTAAGTCGACGATGAACCGACCAGACGGCTGACGACATACTTCCTGAATCGAGTAAGCATCGTATCGGCTGGTAGATTCCGCGACCGTCGAGTATTTCGAGAAAAGCAGTGGAAAGTAAAACGCTCGAATTTGCTGAAGAAAAACCTGCAGTTACGGTTAATGGATTTATGTGGTCAGAGAGCTTAAGCGAATCATTGTTAGCGGGGGGTGACTGAAAGTGAAGTAATCTGTGATGTTTTTTGTGGCACATATGACAACTCCACGTAGAGGTACAGGTACTAAAACGGTGAGAGCCTAAACAATTTACGCACATTTTTCCCCTCTTAACCAGATTGTAGCGCTCTGCGGGAGATTTTTCCAAAAACTCGCTGCATTTATAAATAAAATGAGAATTTTTACAAACAGGACATTTTGGTGGATTTTCAGTTTGAGCCAGCATTGCTGTAGAGTTGGAGAAAGTTGGCTTTTTGAGAAAAATTTGCTTTGTTTTAGTTTGAAAATTAATATTGTCCAACGCCAGACAATTTTTACTTAAAAATTGCTTTAATTTAGCATAACTTGGAATAGTACTGTCGTTGTGATGAAGTTCAAATCGTGTAACTAGAGAAACCGTGAGTCTTTTCAGCATCATTTGAACAAGTATAAAGTCCCAGTGTTCCGTGGGTAACCCTAGATTTTGCAAAGCTGCGACATTTTTTGAAAACGTATCTAATAAAGAGCGTAACTTTTTTGAATTTTCTGAGGTAAGTTTGGGTGAGCATTCGAGGTTATTTCATAAATTTGAAGCAATAACTCTCACTTTATTGAACCTTTCTTTTAGTAAATCGTAAGCAATTGTGTAATTATCTGCTGTGATATCCAAATGGTCGACAGCGTCCCGAGCGACACCTTTCAAGCAAGAAACTAATAGGTTAAATTTGTCAATCGCTTTTAAGTGGGGGACCGTATGAACACGCGCATCAAATTGATCGAGAAAACTCCGAAACTCGGTAACTTCTCCTCTAAATGTCGGTAACTCAGGCTTGGGTAAATTTAAATATGCAGAGATGGGCAATTGTTCACCCGGTATAGCCACAGATTGCGTCGTCGGCTTCATTAAACGTTGCGTATAAATAGCTTGAATTCTATAATATTGAATATCGAATTTTTTTCGAAAATCATCCTCAATCTTGAATAGTTCATCCGCATTTTGCTTATCACATATGATTGATATAATTTTATTGTGAAGTTTATAAAAATTTGTTCGAGTTTCCTCAAGTTCTTTATACATAGCTTCAAGAATGGGATAAAAACTTTCATCTTCGGCATTAACTTTCAGAGCAACATCGTATATTTCGTTCAATTTATGAATTTCAGTCGACCGGAGTACTTTATTCTTTTTATAATCACCCATTTTTTTTTTCTTTTCGGTGAGTAAAAAGTAAACGGTTCAAACCTAATAAAAACTGGTCAAACTCTTCACACACTAATATTAAATTATGTGCCCTGCTCTATTTACCTGACTAAAAATTAAATTATCTAAAATGAACAACTGCGTATTGTATGGACGAAAGGTACATAAAACGGAATGCGAAGGTCATCAATTTTTTTGTTTTGCTCAAGAATTAGATCTTGACAGAAAATGTTTAAATCCAATTTCAAGTAACTTAATTAAAATTGTGCCCTCTCCGTGGTAATAATCGAAATCAAAATAATGCGGATTGAAATAATGAATTTATTTTAATTTCTGTAAGAGAGAAATGTTTTCCGTTGCGTAGCTAAGGCTAAAAACTGCCGAATCCGGCTCGAAGGACCAAATAATTTCTTTTCGCGGAATAACCACCGATATGAAAAGAAAATGAGCGGCGCGCTCGGAAGAGCTTTAAAGTGGACTGTAGGCTTTAAAAATTTAGAAATACTACCGATCGCCAAACGGGCCGCTAGAACTTTAAGGTCTCACCTTAAGCGCACGCCTCCGTCTCCTCAGCAGGCCTGCTTCCTCTTTGCTGTAAGTTTTGCTACTCGATTCGCAGAACTTACTGGTGTTACGCCACGGACAACATAAAAACGCACAACGAAAATCTTTAGAATTAAAGTTCCCTTCGCGGAAAACGCGCAACAGATCTCGGTGCTGCCGCACACGAAATGTTAATGCACTCCCGATCGGCTTGACCCAAAAAAAAACTTTAACGGCAATACCGCGGTAAAAAATGTTCCAGCAACTTAAATTTTTATTTGAGTACGCACAAAATTATTTGTCCCAAAAACCCGACTAAACATAAGAAAACTTTCTCTCTTTGCAAATTACCAAAAAATAAAATAATAACAAAAATTATATATATATATATATATACAAGGACAGACGTGCGATCTGTCCAAAAGGTATTGTCTTTCGCATGTTAATATTGCACAAAAACAAGGCCATTGAAGAAAAATAACTTGTGTGAACTTGCATAGTTGAGGCACTTTTCTTCT